AAAAAAAAAAAAAAAAAAAAAAAAAAAAAAACACCACCGAATTTTCAGAATAAATAGAAAAATAAATAAATAAATCAAGAAATGAGAAAAGAAGGTGGGAAAGAAGATATTTCGAATTTTTGGAAAAAAAAGAAAGATAAATCAAAAGAGAGGTGGAAAGAAGAAAAACAGAAAAAATTCGAAGTAGTGGGGAAGGGGAATGAAAAAGTGAAGGAGAAAAGAAAGAAGTAGGTGGGGGGAGAGAAAAAGATAAAGTGGGAGGTAGGGGGATGGTGTGGTGGTAGTTGGGGGAGAGGAGGGATGGGGAAAGGTGGACAGGGATTAAGAAGCAAAGAGAAAAGAAGGGGGAAGATAAAAGGAGGAGAGAAAAGATGTAGTAGAAGGTGGGGAAAAAAGAAGGGGTGAGTAAGAGGAGAGAGGGGAGGTAGGGATAGTGGCTTAGTAGAGAAAGGGGGGAGAAGGGAGTGATACCTGGCCCTTGGTGTCTCCAAGGGCACAAGGTATACCAAGACCAGGAGGGTCTTGGTCTTCGCTGCACCAGCCAGTTGGAGGAGAGAGGGGGTTGAGATCTTGATCAGCCCCCAGCAGCACTTCTGCAAATATGCAGATCTGGGGTCTGCTGTGAGAGCAGGCCCTCACCGTTGTAGAGCAGCCCCCTTGAGCAGGGGGGTCTTCAGTTCACAGTAGATGCCACGTGGCACAGCTGCAGCATCCACGGCGGCGGGGGGGGGGGGGGGGGGGGGGGGGGAGGCGTAAATAGCAGCTTGTTGTCGCTGGCCTGCTGGCCGCTGCACGCTGGCGCGGGGGGGGGTGGGTAAATAGCCAACACGGCACCTCTTCAACACAAGTGTGCCGCATTATAGCACCATCTACACTTTGTGGCGAGTGTGTTAGTAGGGTGCTTACGCACGCGCATGGCCCAGCAGCCACCTGGGTTCAAACCCCAGCAGCAGCAGTTGCATCCCGAATTTTAATTATATACATCCGAGAGCGGGGCGAGGCGGSGCAGCGGGGCAGCGTGGGCGTGTGGCGCGCGCGCGCGTGCGGCAGCCTTGGCCTTTGGCGCTTGCGCGCACGCGTCGTGATGCGGCTTCCTTTTTCGCCACGTGGAGCTCTCCTGCTGCAGCACCTTTTTTCGTTGTTTTTTCCCGCTTTTTCGCCCGAAAACGCCCCCAAAACAGCCGAAAATCGGACTGTCGGGTTTTGCCGTATTTCCCTGCTGTGCTGTTTGGTGGGTGGGGGCGGGGGCCGTTCCCGCTCCGATACCAATGTAGCGGACCCACCAGGTGTGGTGCTYCGCTAGTGACAGAGATGGAGATGGAGGAAGAAGGAGGGAGCAAGGTGCACAGCGCAGCTCCCCACGCAGACTCCAACGCACGTACTCCGAAATGTGCAACTGAAGAATGAGCTGAAAACAGACAAGTGCTGGGGTATACCCCAGCGGACTGACGGGACTGGACTGGACTGGCTGGTACCAACAGGTACCGGCCTGGACTGGACTGCCCCCGAATAGAACACAGGCTTGTGAGAACAGGCCAAGGGGCTGGTCTCATAGGCCAACCAACCAGAGGTCCGCTACAGTGGTGGATTCACTCCGCTGGGTATAGGCCTCCAGAATATCCTAGAGTGAGATGGTTACCATTAGAAGCTCCATTCGTATTCTTGGGGTGTCACTTACGGCTGTCGGGAAACCCAACTCTCATGATGATTGGGTGTCAAATCCGACACTATGGGCTATAAGTAATACAAGAACTAAACTCCTACAGAAGCAAGTTACAACATTTCTATGGAGGGGGAATCATGAACAAGACAAGGTAATCCCTACTAGTAGAGTTGCCTGGTGTTATTTAATCCAACCGAAATCGAGGG